CATCCTTATCTTGTTCCTATTCTTAAAGGAAAAGCTCCCAGTGTTTCCCCATTCGGAATGATATTGTTGGTGAGTTTGTCATTTACAGCTTTCACTGTGTTGAGATACTCTCCTATACCTAATCTGTTGAAAGTCTTTATCAAGAGGGGATGTTGAAGTTTGTCAGATACATTTTTTGCATCTATTGAGATGATCATATGGTTATTTTCCTTAATTTTGTTGATGTGGTATATCATGTTTATTGATTTTCATTTGTTGAGACAAATATGTTGAATCCCAGGGATTGATCATAATGCATAATCTTTTGGATGTCCTGCTTTATTCTGTTTGCTAATATTTTTTTGAGAATTTTTGTGTCAGTGTTTATCAAGGATATTGGCCTGTAGTTTTCTTTTTCTTTTTCTTTTCTTTTTTTCTCTTATATGTTTATCTGGTTTTGGTACCAGGGTGATGCTGGCTTTATAGAATGAGTTTGCGAGAATGAGCTTTATTTCAACTATTTGGAACAGTTTTAAAAGGATTGGTATTAATTCTTCTTTAATTATGTGGTAGAATTGAGCAGTGAAGCCATCTGGTCGTGGGCTTTTCTTTGTTGGGAGACTGGTGATTAGTGCTTCTATCTTGTGGCTCATTATTGGCCTATTGAGATTTTCTGTCTTCTTCGTTCAGTCTTGGTAGTTTGTATGTGTCCAGAAATTTATCCATTTCCTCCAGATTTTCAAGTTTGTTGGCATAAAGTTGTTCCTAATAGTTTCTAATTATTCCTTTTATTTCTGTTATTGGTCGTAATACCTCCTTTTTCATTACTGATTTTTATTATTTTGATCTTCTCTCTTCTTTTTTCAGTTAGATTAGCTAATGCTTGGTCAATTTTGTTTATCTTTTCAACAAACCCAGTTGATCGTTTGTATCATTGATCTTTTGTTTCATTTTTTTTGGGGGGGGGGTTCCTGTTTCATTTAGTTCTCCTCTGATTATAAATATTTCTTTCAATTTACTAATTTTGGAGTTAGATTTTTCTTGTTTTTTGAGGTAATGCAAGGTTCTTTATATGGAATCTTTCTATTCTTTTCATGTAAGAATTTATTGCAATAATCATCCCTCTCAGTACTGCTGTTGCAGTATCCCATGGGTTTTGGTATGATGTATCTTTATTTTCATTAGTTTCTAGAAATTTCTGGATTTCCCATTTAATTCATTCTTTGACCCATCACTCATTCAGGAGCATGTTGTTTATTTTCTATATATTTGTATATTTTGTGAAGTTTTGCTTGTTATTGATTTCTGGTTTTTATCTGTTCTGATCTGAAAGGATACTTGAAATGATTTCAACTTTTTAAACTTAGTTGAGGTTTGATTTGTGGCCAAACATGTGGTCTATCCTGGAAAGTGTTCTATGTGCTGATGGGAAGAATGTATATTCTGGAATTGTTGCATGAAATGTTCTATAGACGTTTGTCGTGTCCAATTATTCTAAAGTGTGGTTTAAATCCTGTGTTTCTCTGTTGATTTGTTGCTTAGATAATCTGTCCAATGTTGAAAGAGAGGTATTGACATCCTCACCTATTATTTTATTCGGGTATATATCTCTGTTTCAGTCTATGAGTGTTTGCCTTATATATCTAGGTGCTCTGGTGTTGGGTGCGTACATATTTATGATCGTTATAGCCTCTTGCTGGATAGATCCTTTAATCATTATATAATGACCTTCCTTTGGAGCATGAACCAAGTGGCATATGCTTTCACTTAATTGGACTGTATTTGTCCCACCAACCTCACTGACATGTCTGATGTTTTTTCCAGGCCTATAGTTTCAGCCAATAATTAAGCTATGTGGAAATTTAATTGCTTAGGTATATCTCGATACAATTCTTATCACTTATTATTTTAAATGCACCTTATTTAAAAGATGTCTGCAATAGTTATTTCTCATTAAGCACTACTTCCTTTACTGATTTATATATTTTGAGTACATCTATGCTATAGCATGATTCTATGATTCTATAAAATACACAAATATCAGTTTATAAAATGATTTGTTTAACTAGAATTAAACTATCATTAATAACCTCTTTAACTCTTTCTTCCCTAAGTATAACTTTTTTCTGTATTCGTTTCACATATCATTTTCCTTCTGATTGTTGAATTCGTTAACAGAAGAACCGTGTAATCGGCTAAAGAAAAAAAATGGAGACTTATTTTAAAGAAGAGAAACAATCATTACAGAAGAGAAACAATCGGCAGATTGGGGAAGATGCATTCCAGGGAAAACTGAAAATGTGATCTCTAAGAAGGGAGGGAAGAACTGTTTTTTTATGCCTTGCAGGGTCATCTTTAGATCTCTAAGAAGGGAGGGAAGAACTGTTTTTTTATGCCTTGCAGGGTCAGCTTTACATACATATTCAGTGGGTTGGAGGAATTCTATGAATATTTATGAGGGAAGTTATGCACTTGTGCAGTGAGTAAACATATATGTAACATATGTCCCATGCTTACTTTATGGAGGAGATTTAGTATTAAAATGAGGTGGAATTCATCTCTAACATCAAGAGGTTACTATAGGGTATGGAAGACCCTAATGCCCAGTCTCTTTGATCTGGCCATAGTCAGTCTGGACTTTCAGCTCTTATAAGGAGAGAAATACCTTTAAGGCCAATTCTCTGTACAATTGGAACTGTAGTGGGGACACATGAATGAGGGGAGGTTCATTGACAGGAACCAGGTGGACTATTTAAGGCCAGAGTAGAAATTTTCCAGCTGCAATTGACTTGACAATATCTTCCAGTAGCTGGTTTCTGCTTGATTACAGGAGAGAGAAGCCTCATGACAGTTAGTAACACACACATATATGTTGTAAGCTTGGGAATGGGTGTTTAACCCCTCATCCCACTATCGCTGTTTTGTTCTGTTTAGTAGTTTTTAAGAGTGTCTTTATGTAGCTACAGAGAGCCCATCTTTGTCTGTCTATTGAAAGTATGTGTTAGCAGATTTGTGGTAATAATTTATGGTAATTCTTTTCCTCCCACTGTTGATTCTACTAAACTATGAGGTGCTTGTCACAGTGAATCTGATTATCAGCTTGGATTTCAAATTCCCTTATTTGTAGAATCTCTCTTCCAAATGAATTTAAAGGAAAGACTGAAAAATCAGATTTTCCTGTGAATGACTCACACATGTATACACAATACACACGGGCCCCAAAACATCCCCAATTACTCTCCACCTTCCTAGCTGAAATAAAACTTTTTCTCAAAGCTTAGAGCTCTGTAATGTTTAAATAAGCCTGGCATTAAAACAGCTAATTCAACAGTTTTCCTATTGTTCAAAGCCTTGCCATTTATTCAGAAGACTTTGGATTCAAGTCACTTATTTAGGGTCCATAGTTGTAAATTTGGGAGGGCATTACACATGAGGTTTACTGACCATTTATTACAACATCTTTAGTTTATAAATCTCTCAACAGAAAAAAGAAATCTTTTTCTGTAATTTAATTTCTTTACCTGTCACAGGACAGATTTGGCCTGATAGTCAAATTTTATAATTTATTAATAAATACTATTCTATTCTGTTGATGGCTGTACAGAACAATATCCCAGAATTCACAAAAAAGAGGTGTTTTCTTAATAGATTAAATTTGGAGAATGATTGAAGGTGATGGATATTACCTACTAAAGAAGGTAGTTTATTTAAAACAAACAAACAAAAAACCATTGAAATGAAAAATATAGAGGCTCTATTTTATTTTACTTTTTTTATTTGCCTTATCCGGGATTCATATTTGAAATGAAAATTTGTCATTTTATTTTTTTAGACAAACGAATCCATATTATACTTATTGTTCATTTATATCCGTTTTTCTTCTGATATAACATGGATGCATTCTGCTTTTCACGTTTGTATCTTCAAATACATGAATTCAGCTATAGTCTCTCTCTCTCTTTAGTTCATCTCTCGTGGTTTAACACACAATTCTTTCACATTCATTATATATAAAAAGCTTCCAGGTCCCTTTCTTTTCTTTTTTTTATCTCTTTCAGTGCTTTATATTCTATAGGCTTTGCACACAGATGTGATTCTGCTTTTAAAATTTGAATTATTAGGTTTTTTAAAAATATCTTTTATTCTTTCCAAAATAAGAGACACCTTGTGTTGCACAAGTGTAAAAAAAAAGGAAGTGGATGTGAATTGAGTATTTAAAATATCATGATTTAGGGCTGGCCCAGTGGCGCACTGGATAGTGCGCCCTCCCGCTGAGGGTTCGGATCCCATGTGGAGACCGGTTCCCACTCACTGGCTGAGTGTGGTGCGGGCGCAACACCGAGGGTTGCGATCCCGTTGCCGGTCAGTAAAAAAGACAAAAAGGAAAAAAAATAAAATAAAATATCATGATTTCACTAGCTAGGTTGTAATGGCCAACTCATGTGTAAGGTAAGAGTGATGTGTTGATTTTATGTGTGCTGAATGGTTCTTTTTGGATTGTTTGTTTGTTTGTTTTTGCTTTGGTTTTGCAATTAATGGAATTTGTAAGTAAGATGTTTAATAAAATTTCTAAATTATCTTTACCTGTTGTATTAATCCATTTATGTTGCTTATGACAGCATAAATGAAACTGGATAATTTATAAAGAAATAAAATTTATTTCTTACAGTTACAGATGCTGGGAAGTGCAGGGAACACATCCGGCAAATGGCCTGAATCAAGAGAGAGCTGACCTACTCACTTGCTCTCCTTATAAGGCCATCATAACCACACCCATTAAACCATCAATGGATTAATCCATACTTGAGAGTATCATCCTCACAATCTCATCACTTCTTAAAAGCTCCACCTCTCAATTACCATAATAGGGTTTCCCACCCTCTTAACACTCTTACAACAGAGATCAAATTTCCAGTACACTAATCCTTGGGGACGCTTTTGACCAATAGCACCTGTTAACAGAAACAAAGTATTTTACATGTGTATTTTAATGATATTTTAAAATTGTTTTCAATTTTTAGCCTCACCCTGTGATCCCACTTTTTTCTTGTGCTGTGCTACCTGCAATGTGATCTGCTCCATTATGTTCCAGAATCGTTTTGATTATAAAGATCAGAATTTTCTAAACTTGATGGAAAAAAACAGTGAAAACAACAACTATCTGAGCTCTCCATGGATGCAAGTAAGTCCAAGATCCTCTCCTTTGGCACTTATGCTCTTTTTCCTGACAAGTCCAAACTTCTACATACACTTATGAAAACCACTGTGAAAAACCTGCTATAGCAACCATGGTCCTGCCCAGAGCATCATGGAATACCCACCTGCCAAAAATGGCTGAACCCTTTATTTTACACACAGGAAAATAATGCCCAAATACGGGGCTGGCTTTCAAGCAAGTTAGCTCCCTGACTGGTGGTTTTTCTACTAAACATTGAAGCCATTTCCACAAACCACTTTGTTAACTTTCCTAGGAAGCCCATGTCATTCAATGGACATCAAGGCCCTTTTTGAAGGCCTCCATTACGCACAAGACTGACACTTCAATGAACACTTAGTGACCTCTTAGTCGTACTACTTGGCAGAAATATCCTGATTTAGGAAGAGAATATCTCCTTCAAGGAAGGAGAATATTGGAGAACATAGAAGCTTCCAGTAAACACTGAGTAGGGTAGGGGTGTTTTATGCTTCATCTAAGATCCTAGCTGACAAGGTTAGTGGGTTAGGAATGACAAAATGGTTGGCTTTATGTGCATGAACCATAAAGAAACATTTCAATTTTGCCTTGTGCTGGATTGGCATGTTCTTCACTCTGCTATATCAATAATAATAATGTGATCTTGGAGAAGTCACATGACTGCTCTGGAGCACAGTTGGTTTTCAAGTTATCTTCTACACCCTTCCAATTCTCAAATACTAATTTCATTTCTGAGGCTGCTTGATAGAAATTAAAAATGTGGGGACTAGTTTTGTGCTCTAATTCAGGTAGCCCAAACTCCCCTAACCTCTGTTGTCATCAACAAAAAAAAGTAAATCATAGTAACACATGCCATTTTATATTTCAAGGTTGTAGGAAAGAATTAATGTATAAAGTGAGAGAATTCTTATAAAGATGCTTTTATACTATAAAAATGATGTCCGAGTCTAGGAAATGATTATCGTCTTTGATCCTCTGGTCATAATTTTCTCCCTCAGGTTTTTCTATTAGCCTAGAGAATGACTATATATGTACAATGAAAATTTCCCCTTCTAGATGGATGCCTTATTCTATTCATATTTATAGATATGATTTCTAACCAGAGTTTGATACACTATATATGTGTTTGTGAGAGTGTGTGTGTGTAGGAAGGTATTTATTAAATATTTTTTATTTAATGAATTATCATTTTCTCTTTTAGATCTGCAGTAATTTCCCTTTTCTCATTAATTATTTACCGGGGATTATGAAAAAATTCTTTAAAAATACGGCGTATGTGAAAAATTATATTTCGGAGAAAGTAAAAGAACACCAAGAATCACTAGATATTCACAATCCTCGGGACTTTGTTGATTATTTCCTGATCAAAATGGAGCAGGTAAAATGTCAACACCAACTCAGTCATTCAATTGTTTGTGCATTTCATGGCTCATTGAATAGTTCTGTATTTACTGTGGATGTTTAAATGGTCAGGTCAGTAATATTTGACAAGCATTTTAAGTACCTATTGTGTGCATGAACCTGCACAAAGCATCATGGAAAATATAAAGTCAAATTGTTAAATAATTGCAATACTTTGACCCTGTTATTAAGAAAAAAATTATCAACTTTAGGAGAAACAGAATGCACACTGTAGGTGAAATGAAAATGATTACAAACAAGTTAAAAAATACAAAATGTCCTGCCATAATAAAAGATGGACCATATACACTGTAAGGGAAAATGAAAAAAAAAATGCTATAACCTAGGTGGGCTTCCGGCAGGTCCTGCGGATTAAAATAGACCTTAAATGATTTGCATTGAGGGACAGGGGAAAAATATGCTCAACATCATTAGTCATCAGGGAAATACCACATTGAGATCGCATCTCACCCCAGCTAGACTGGCTGTTATCAAAATGACAGAATAGCAAATGCTGGTGAGAAAGTGGAGAAAAGAAAACTCTTCTACACTGTTGATGGGGCTGTAAATTAGTAAGATTGGTTTTAATTCTTTTTAATTGTTTTGGAAGAAATCACCAGTGACATCATCTTGTTCTGGATCTTTCTTTTTTGAACATTTTGATTACTAATTGAATATCTTTGTTTGTTGTAGGTGTGTTCACATTTTTATTTCACCTGAGTCAGTTTAATAATTTATATATATTTATGAAATTTTTTATTTATCTAGATACCTAATTTGTTGATGTATAATTATTCATAGTGTTCTCTTATAATGATTTTTACTTCTGTAAAATCAGCTGTAATACCGCTGCTTTCATTTCTGATTTTAGTTATTTATGTCTTTTCTCTTTCTTTTTATTTAGTCAGTGTACCTTATGGTTTGTCAATTTTATTGACCTTTTCAAAGAACAAATATTTTGTCTACTTTACTATTTTATTGTATTTATATTCTCTGGTATTCATCCTCCTGTATTTGGATATTTTCACTTGACATAATGTCCTGTAAGTTTATCTATGTTGTTGAAAGTGACAGAATTTTATTATATTTTATGGCTGAATCATATTCCATTACTATATATATATATATATATATATATATATATATATACACACACACATATATACACACACACACACACACACACACACACATACACACCACATTTTCTTTACACATTCATCCAGTGACAGGCTCTCTAGCTGTTTCCATATCTTTACTATTGGGAACAGTGCTGCAATAAACATGGGAGTACAGATATCTCTTTGTCATGTTGATTTCATTTCATTTAGACGTACACTCAGCAGTGGAATTGTTGGATCATATGGTAGTTCTATTTTATTTTTGAGGTACTTTCATACAGTTTCCCATAATGGCTTTGTTGGTTTATCATCCCACCAACAGTGTGAAAGAGTTTTCTTTTCTGCAGATCCTAGCCAGCACTTGTTATTTTTTGTCTTTTTAATAATAGCTATTCTAACTCAAGTGAGGTGATATTTCATTATGGTTTTGATTTCCATCTCCATAGTGCTTAGTGACATTGAACTTTTTTTATATACCTATTAGCCATTTGCATATCTTCTTTTGAGAAGTATCTATTCAGGACTTTTGCCCATTTTCAATTGCAATTTTTTTTTCTTTTTGCTACTGAGTTTCTCATATATTCTGGATATTAACTCCTTGTCAGATGCATAGCTTGCAAATATTTTCACCAAGTCTGTGTATTGTTTCTTTGCTTTGCTGATTTTTTTTTTCTGTGCAGAACTTTTTAGTTTGATATAACCTCATTTGTCTACTTTTGGTGGCTTTTTGGCTGTCCCTTTGAAGTCTTATCTAAAAAAAATCCTTGCCCAGACAAATATCATAAAGCTTTTCACTTATGTTTTCTTCTAGTAGTTTCATAGTTTCAGTTCTTCCATTTAAGTCTTTAATATATTTTGAGTTGATTTTTGTATACAATGAGAGATAAGGGTCTAATTTCATTCCTCTGCATGCAGTTATCTAATTTTTCCAGCACAAGTTCTTAAAGAGACTGTCCTTTTCCCCTGTGTGTTTTTGTTATTGTTGTCAATAACCAGTTGGATGTAAATAAATTGATCTATTTGGGGGTTTTCTATTCTATTCCATTGGTCTTGTATCTGTTTTCATGCCAGGTCCTAGATGTTCTGATTGTTATAGCTTTGTAGTATATGAAGATACTTCAAAAAGTGTGCAGAAAAATGTAATTAAAAGATAATACACATCTTTCCATGAACTTTTGAAGATCCTTCTATTTTGAAGTTAGGTAGTATGATGTCTTCAGCTTTCTTCATTTTGTTCAGCATTGCCTTGGCTATTCAGGATCTTTTGTGGTATCATTTGAAATTTAAATTTTTTTTTTCTATTTTTGTGTAAAATGTCATTGGCATTTTAATAGGAATTGCAGTAAGTCTTTAGGTTTTTGGGGGTAGTATGGTCATTTTAACAATATTAATTCTTCCAAACAATGAACATGGAATGTGTCTCCATTTTTTTGTGTCCTCTTCAATGTTTTTCATCACTGTTTTATCATTTTCCTTACAGAGATCTTTTACCTAACATTAGGTATTTTATTTATTTATTTGTGTAGCTTTTGTTAATAGGATTGTTTTCTTGATTTTTTTCTCAGATAGTTTGCCAATGGTATATAGTTTGGTTAAGGGACACAAATAATGATTACATTTTGCAGTGAAGAATTTGTTAATTGTACTGATTTGATCATCATATATTGATCACAAATACTTATAGTCAACTCTTTACCCCATGAATATGTATAATAAATTATGTTTCAATGAAAAAAAAGCAACACTTAAAAAATATTTTGGGGGCCGGCCCAGTGGCGCACTCGGTAGAGTGCGGCACTTGGGAGTGCGGCGGTGCTCCCGCCGAGGGTTCGGATCCCATATAGAGACCGGTCCGCTCACTGGTTGAGCGCGGTGCGGGAACGACACCGAGGGTTGTAATCCCATTGCCGGTTGTGGTACGGGCGCAACACCGAGGGTTGCGATCCCATTACCGGTCACGAAAAAAGACAAAAAGGAAAAAAAATATATTTTGCAACATTTCTAAATTTGTTTATTAGTTCTAATAGTTTTTTGGTGAAGCCTTTAAGCTTACTGTATATCTGATCATTTCCTCTGCTGACAGGGACAATTTGACTTTTTTTCCAGCACATGATATATCCTGAAGAATGATCCAAATGCTGTCCAGAAAAATGTGTATTCTGAAGCTATTGCATGGATGGTCTATAAATGTCTGCTAGGTCCATTAGGTATAGAATATATTTTATCTCTGATCTTTCCTAGTTGATTTCTTGTCTGGGTAATCTGTCCATTGCTGGAAGTGGGGTGTTAAAGTCCCCTACTATTATTGCACTGCAGTCTCTCTATATTTTTAGTTTTATTAATATTTGCTATATATACTTAGCTGCTCTAATGTTGGGTGCATATATATTCCTTCTCTTTATTTTAACATTTACTTGTACATGTTTGGTGTACTGTGTGTTGTTTCAATACAAGAATATACTGCACAATGATTCATATATGGTATTTAACCTAGTTTTGTACCTATTAGTCAGTGCTTCTTCTCCCTCTGCCCCCACATCCAGTAACCATTATTATATTCTCTATTTCAATGAGAATCACTTTTTGAGTGATATCATTTTGTATTTGTCTTTCTGTGCTTTATTTATTTCACCCAACTTGATGGTTTCCAGTTCTATTAATGTTGCTGCAAATGATAGGATTTCATGCTTTTATAACTGAACAGTATTCCATTGTGTGTATATACCACAATTTTTTTTTAAACTCAGTCATCTGTCAATGGATGTTGAGGTTGATTCTCTCTCCTGGCTATTGTGAATAGTGTTGTGATGAACACAGGAGTGTAGGTGTCTTTTTGGTTTATTGATTTCATTTTCTTTGTGTATATACCTGGTAGTGAGTAAATTTAACTAAGGAGTGAAAGACCTCTACATGGGAAACTATAAAATACTGGAAAAATAAACTGAAGAGGACACAAAAAAATGGAAAGATATATCATGTTAATGGGTTGGAAGAATTAACATCTTCAACACAATCCCTATCAAAATACCAATGACATTTTTCACAGAAATATAAAAAATGATCTTCAAGTTTGTATGGAACCACAAGACACCCCATAGAGCTAACCAAATCTTGAACAAAAAGAACAAAGTTAGACGTATCACACTTCCTGACTTTTTTTGTGTGTGTGTGTGTGTGTCTTTTTCATGACTGGTAAGGGGATCGCAACCCTTGGTGTGGTGTTGCCCACACCGCGCTCAGCCAGTGAGTGCACCGGCCATTCCTATATAGGATCCAAACCTGCGGCGGGAGCATCACTGCACTTCCAGCGCCGCACTCTCCCGAGTGCACACGGGCTCGGCCCCTGACTTTAAATCTATAGGAACTCAAACAGCATGATACTGGCATAAAAGCAGACATATTGACCAATGGAACAGCATAGAGAGGCCAGAAATAAACCCAAACATTTGCAGCCAACAGGTTTTGGACAGAGGTGCCTAAAATACACACTGGGGAAAGAATAGCCTATTCAATAAATGGTGCTTGAAAATTGGATGTTCACATGTAGAAGATTAAAATGGGACTCCTGTATCTCACCATACATGCACAAAATAACCTCAAAATGGATCAAATATATAAATTTAATATCTGAAATTATGAAACTACTAGGAAAAGACATAGAGGAGACAGTACACAAAATGGGAGTGGGCACTGGCTTTTTTTTGCAAGACTACAAAGGCACATGAAACAAAAGCAAAAATAGTCAAATGGGACTACATCAAATAAAAAAGCTTCTGCAAAGCATGGGGTACTATCAACAAAGTGAGGAGTCAACCTACAGAATGAGCAAAAGTGTTTGCAAACTACACATCACATA